AAAAAGAAAAAAACACATCCGCATATTCTCCAAGGGCAAGGGACTCCGGTCAAGCCCAAAGTTCGGCTGTCAAGACTAGAATCGAACCAAGGTTCCCTGACACTGTTTGCAGAGACGCCCGGGCAGCAGGAACTGCGAGAGCAGGAATGAACACACTAAACACGCGGGGCAAAAGCGACGGACAAAAAAGCAGCACACTGGACAATCGTACGTCTACAGTAATGTACATCTACCCGCCGGTTAGTATAGTCGCCTTGAAACAAGTTGAAGGTAGAGTCCCTGCTATGTAGAGATACATAGAGTGCTACTAGTGTATGTATACTGAGCAACAACAGGCTCGAGCGGGCTAGTGCCCTACTTAGGTCAATGAGAGCAAAAGGCCAAAAGAATTGCAGGACCGAGGCTGTAAGCAGTATCAACAATAAGAGCTAAAAAACAAAGAAAAGGACAGAACAGCACACCAAAGAACTGACTATCTAGTATCTACAGGAATGTACATCAAGCCGAGCCGCAGTCTCGGACGAAAAAACAATAAAGAGCAAAATATGGACAAAGACCGGAGTCGAAAAAAAGTATCTATCCAATGGGATACATGACATCTCAAGAGTTAAAAAAAAAAAAAAAAAAAAAGACAGTCTCCAGAGTTGCGTTCATCACAAGAGAAAATCAGAGAAGTGAAGCTCCGGTCTCAGTGGTGGGGCTTGCATCACAGTGAGCTGCCCTGGGAAACGGCCCCCAGGAGGAAGAGAGGTAACGTTTCAGGGTTTCGTCGAGAAGCCTTTCCACTGGACTGTTGAGTGTCCACTCGGTCGAGATTGGGTGCCTTTTTCAAAAAACAAATATTTCACTTTGGTCGTACCCCATAGTAGGCGGTGTGACGTGAAATATTTATTCTATCCCCCCCCMCCCCCCMCCCCCCACCAAAAAAAAAAACTATCAAACATGCGTGCATCACAGTTCCAGCCCGCGGCACTGCTGCATTTCCCAACGTCCACCTTGCCCCACGATTCGCGACGAATGGCTCCTCTCAGGGCTGAATAGTGGGGGTCCCTGTTAACCTTTGGTGGGTGTCTTCAGCCTGAGCCAAAGGTTAACAGGGACCCCCACTATTCAGCCCTGAAGACACCCACATTCCAACGTCAAAAGGCGGAAGAGACCAAAAGGATGAAGGCATTTGTCCACTGCCCCCCTCTGGGAACGGGATCGGAGCTGCAACTCTCCAGCATACCCAGAATGGAAAATACTTTTTTTTTGTGTGTTTGAAAGAATGGACAAGACCACATACTACTCACTACATACTTTCCTTCTTCTTTTTTTTTCTTTTTTTTTTTCCAAACAACTTTTTTATTTTATTATGATTTGCGGAAAACTGGGTCCAGCGTTTCGGTCTATTCTATCTTTCAAGTTGTTGCCTGTATTGAACACGTACTCCAGAATCCAGATATCTTATTTATTATTATTATTATTATTATTATTATTATTATTATTATTATTTATTTATTTACAAACAGGGCCCTATGGTCCTGGCTCCTTCTATTCTAGCGAGCGTCAGTCCGGTTCCTTTTTTTTTTTTTTTTTTTTTTCTGGGGAGGATCAGTCCGGTTCCTATTCCACCGGCAAGTCAATATATTAAAAAAAAAACATACAACAAGTAGTTTCACTCACGCTTCCTTCCGTCTGGCCGAAGGACCCCTGGACAGCATTGATTGCTCCACCACAGTGGAGGATTAACTGCCAGCTTGCCCATCCTCTTCTCTTTCCTCTCAGACCAGCCAAATGGGTCTGYCAGATTTCATCGCTATATACTAGAAAGAGTCCCCCTATTGTGATCATCAACCCGAGCCCTTCCTGTTCCRTCTGTTTTTTCTTTTCACCTAAGCAGCCATTAAACCCTGAACCCAGAACCCTGGACCCTTGTCCTTCTTGAATGCACCCCGGTACACCATTCCCTTCCAAGGATCGCCTTCCTCATTGCTCTGGGTTTCTTTGCTTTGATCTTTTTACTTCCCTTGTTTCCCTGCGTTACCAGCTTGAATCCTGTTCCCCTCCGCTGTAGATCCAGAACAGGGACTCGAAAGCCGAACTGTCTCAGTTAGAGTCTGAATCGAGAGTACTGCTCCCTGATACCATGCTTTGCTGTTCCAGAATTCTTCTTGAAACGGAGTTGTGCCACTCCTACCTCCCGATAGAATCGTTCCTCTTCCCAGCAACCCTCCCCCCTGCCAACCAAGACGTGATGAAGTTGTCTCTAGCCTTCCTCCACTGCTCTTCGCCATCTGTCCCTGTTCTCCTGGTCCTCTTCCATCTGCGTAGAAATTCTGCCCGTATCAGAACCTTAGTCTCTGCCTAGGCTTTCTCCCGTGGGTTTGCAGTCTCCTCAACCTTTCTGCTGCATCTTGCCTTCCATATGGCTCAAGGGAAGTCTTGCTGGTGAACTCAACCCAGATCCTATAATGTTTTCTGAGGCCACTTAGGGATGCCCATCAAAGGAGAAGTTAATTTTCCTCTCTTTCCTTTATCCCTCCACCYTTTCTGTTCCCTGGTTTCCTCATCCCTCCTCTCTCCATTTGAAGCGAAGTTGTACACCTCTGGGCTCTGCTACTTTCCCCTGACCCAACGTAATCTGTTTAAAATTTTTGATTATTTCCTCCTCTTGCCCAGGTTGTTGTCTAGCTTGCTGTCTCACCCTTTTCCACTGTGCGTTGAGATGTGATTCCACTGTGTTGAGGAGCAGCTCTCTAGCTTCCTCCCTATGAGTTAGTGTTCCTTCCATAGTTGCCTGACATCTCCTCTTCCAAATGGTCCACAGTCCATATTGTCTAAACAGTTGAAAGATGTGCCTCTRATAGGGTTGCCATCCTTTAGGAACCCCAGTCCCCAAAAGCATGGTAATCTTTGACTCTGGAAAGGCTATCGTCGCTACCTGTTTCCAAATCCCCCTAACTTGTTCCCACAATACTTCTGCCTCCTTACATTCCAGCAGACAATGCACCAATGTTTCCGGAAGCCCTTCTTGGCACACCTTGCAAAGCTCCGCTTCCTCGTTTCTCTGATTGTGACTTCTTCTTTCGTTGAGCCACACATTCACTGGTAGTGCCACGTGCGCTATTAGCCATTGCATACTTCTAACTTGACCCAGTCTGATAGATAGGATGTTAGACCACGGTATATCGGGCATTAGGCTCCTAGGGATCCCTACTTTCTTCTCCCAGCGTTTGGTCAGAGAGTGTCCCATGGAGCTGGATCTGTTCCTCAGTCTATACCCCGTTTTTGTGGTATATTGGAGGATGTTGATTCTTCTTGCTACTCTTGATTGCCCATTTCTAATGTTCCAAGCCCATTCTCCAGGGTCAACCTCTAGGTCCTCGATTGGTACTGTTGAACTGTCTACTGTATACTCTTCCATCTCTATCACTCTTACCTTCTGTAACCCTTGTTTGAGAATATACAGTGGTGCTTTGGAAGACTTATCTAGTTGGGAAGTGGTACTGCTCAGCTGTATTATGTCGTATTTATCAGCTGCTAGCCATTCATTCCTATCTTTGTCCGTTTCCCACACCCTGAAGATCTGTTTAGGCTCCGGATCATCTTCYCATGTAGCCCAATCTCCCTCACGCCATTGCTTTCCCTCTCTCAGCAAGAGAATCCAGGATGGGTGTATGGAGTCTGTGACTATTCTCAGATTGTCCTGAAGGTTGTGGCAACCCTTCAATGCTCTCCTCAGTTCCCCTGCTGTTTTCCACCGCTTGTTTTCGTCCTCCCAAATATGTTTGATCTGCCATATTCCATGTTCCACCCATCTGCCCCATCTCGAATCCTTGCTAGTTAGTGTTAGAGGTTTTCCGCCGCTGTCCCTAATGCTGATATTGCAGAAAATAGGTTGCCTTAATACCTCCTCCCTTGTAGTGGGTTCTCTGACCCTTGCTGGGAAGACCTCCTTCCACAGCTGAATTAGTTGTAGCCAATAAGAAGGGTTTCTAGCCCTCCCACCTTGTGCSTCCSTGTTCTCCTTCCTATAGCCCACTTTAGCCCAGTTGCTGCACATGATCCAGAACAGTCCCGTCATATTGTCAGGTGTTTTGTACATGGCTATCTGCCTGATCCTTGCCAATACTAATGAAGTCCATGATAACCTGGGTTGTGAAATTAGCTTGACCACCCATTTTGTTTGTAAGGCCTTCAACTGTAGACTTGGGTCTAGGATGCCTAGGCCCCCTTGACCCTTGGCTCTGGTTACCGTCTTCCATGCCACCTTGGTTATGAAATGTTCCGTGTTGTGCTTCGCTGTCCACAAAAAGGCAGCTGCCTTCCTCCTAAGTTGGGTCGATGTGGCCTTGGGGGGAGTCCAAATTGACCCCGCGTACCACATCATGGAAAGGATCGATGCGTTCAAGATCAGTGCTCTTCCGTATATTGAAGTGTACACTGTTGACCAAGCCCCGAACTTTGCTAACATCTTGGCCATTATGTCTGCTGCCATCGACTGGTGAGTCCCTTCTTCTGTTATTTTGATCCCAAGGAATCGTAGCGGTTGTTGCGGTGACATCCATTGAAGCCCCYCCGGGCTRGAGACCGGYATCTGGTCCTCTTGGTTTAGCTCTGCCATCCACCAGCCCACTGTTTTGTGCCAATTGATTTTCATTTCTGTAGCGAGTTGGAAGGCTTCCATAGCTCTTGTTAGCGCTTGGAAGGAGGAGTCTGTTGCTCTGATTAGGACTGTCAAATCATCCGCGAACAATATCGTCGTGGGGATTACCACCTTGTGACCTTGCTGGTCTGGTGGAGCTGTTAGTCTTTCTATTGACGGGTCCTTTCTCAGGAAGGAGGCTATTGCCTCCATTATGAAGAGGAAGATAGGAGCAGCTAAGGGGTCCCCTTGCCTAACCGATCTTGACATCGGGTAGGTCGATGACAAGTGACCATTTATCTGTACTTGTCCTTGTGCATTGTTATATAAAACCCTGATCCACTTCCTAAAGTTCGGTCCTACCCCCATCTTCTCCATGCACAACTGCAGGAAAGGCCAACTAACTTGATCGTAAGCCTTTTCAAAGTCGAAAAAAAGAATGGCAGTGTTGATTCTCTTGTCCCTTATGTACCGGACCGATTCTGTTAGGCACATGACGTTATCCAAGATAAACCTACCCGGTATAAATCCTGTTTGATCCAGATGGAAGCAACCCGCCGTGATTTTGGATAAGCGATTAGCTAACGCCTTGGCTACTATTTTGTGGGTGAGGGTCAACAAAGTTATAGGTCTATAATTTCGTATGTCCGTTGGACTCCCTTTTTTGTAAAGGAGTGTGACTATCCCTGTTGCAGGCTCGCTCCCTATACCCTCTTTCTGCCATGCCTGTTCGAGGAAGGAAACATATTCCTCTCCCAAAATTGGCCAAAATTCYATCCARAAYTCTCTAGACAGGCCGTCTTTCCCTGGGGTTTTATTCGGGGTCATCGTTTTTAGTGCCTCCCATAACTCCTCYTGTGTTAAGGGTTCGTYAAGCATGGCAGCATGCTTTCGTGAAATTGTGTTCTGAAGATAATTCAGGAACTTTRATCTCGCCTCCTCCACTCTAGGCTTAGGGGACTGGTCTTCCACTGATGTATATAGCTTACTATAGAAGTCGAAAGCCACCCTTAACAACCCTTCCTTGCCGGAAGTAGGCCCCCCTTCCCCTTCTAAGCTCTCTATGAGATTGTTCCTTCCCCTGGTCTTGATTTTTTGGAAGAAGAATTTGGTCATTCTCTCCCCTTCCTCCCATTCTTTGATTCTAGCTCTCATTCTTAAGCCTTTCATTTTCCAGCGTTGCCATTCCATCATCTCTCCTCTAGCCGTCTCTAATATTCTTTCATATATTTCATCTCCTGGCCAAAGAATAGTATTGTGCTCTGCTATCTCTATTGCTCGCGTCAGTTCTTCCTCCCTTTCCTTCCTCTTTGACGTGAGCCTCCTAGCCACTATAGTTGAAGCCTTAGACAGTGATGTTAGCAGTTCTGGGAATGAGTGTGTGTCCGGGTTATAGCTGAAGCCTTAGACAGTGATGTTAGCAGTTCTGGGAATGAGTGTGTGTCCGGGTTGTGTTCTTGACACACTTGAAGGACTGCCTGTCTCATGTCCTTAGTTTTCAGGAGGGAATTTGTAAAACCCCTTACCCCTGCTGATTTGCTTGTCTGATGTCAAGCTCAATAGGATAGGTTTGTGGTCCAAACCCACATCGTACGGTAGGCTACCTATGATTACTGAGTGTAACATGCCCGTTATGCCCGGTGATGTTAAGAAGTAGTCGATCCTGGAAGCCGACACATGTTGGCTACGGTTTSTYTTTCGGTAGGTGAATTGTCTTTCATCCGGGAAGAGWAGTCTATACGGGTCTAACAGTTCTAAAYTAGTCAKTAGCCCATGAATCGGTAGCGACTCTTCTGACCAGCCCTCTTCCTCTGATCTAAAACCGCCTGAAATTCTGTCTAGGCTAGGATCCAAGGTGGTGTTCCAGTCTCCTGCTAAGATCAGGTGCCTATTCCCATCCAGGAGTAGTTTGAGCCTTTCGATCATATCTAATCTTTGTTGGTAACCGTTTGGACAGTAGACTGACAGTAGCGTGTAGGGTTCCTCATGCAGCTCAAAGTCAACCTTGACCCATCTTCCCTCCTCCTCATCAACCCTTGTTTCTGTGATGATTATCTTGTCCGCCGAATGGTTGTTTGCTGCTGGGGCCCACCATGCTGCTTTAGTTCTTTGCAGTTTCTTCTCTATCTGGTACTTCGTTTTCTGGTGTCCTACCGATTCTTGTAGGTGTGTTTCCTGCAAACACAAGAAATCCGGAGGAGACAAGGAGAACCATTCTGAGTAATTTACTACATTTTGCCACTTATCTCCATTCTCTAAGATCCCAACTAGCCCATTCACATTCCAYGACGTTATTTTGAGTTCCGATAGACCCGTACCCCCCTCAAATCTTCTTCTCTGCTTTCTTGGTCTCTCTAACTCTCCCCTCTCCATTGGGTCTGCTCGTTAGGGTGTAGACTCCCCCTTCATCTTTCCTTGTTCAAGTATCTTGTGCATTAAGCTCTATGGTTGATGCCACCTCACTTACCCTCTTCTCGATGAAGTCCGGCTTCCAAGCAAACGCCTCCACTTTTGTCGCAACCGCTGTGCACCTTGCAACCCATTCCGTGCCTAAATCCCCCCCTAGGAGCCCATAGGGAATGGTCTCCACCACCTACCAAGGCATCCAGATCAAACCCTCTCTTAGTACAGAATCAGTCCCCATATGAAGTAGCAGTGGTCCGAAATCTGTCATTGTTCCCTCGTCGCCTTCCTCTCCTAATGTCATCGGCTCCTCCCCTCCCTCTCTCAAAATGAATGCTCGAGCCGGAACCTCTCCCCCTATTAATTTCTGAAGATCTGAGCTAGAGCACTCTTCCATCGAGGTTGTTAACAACTGCAAGGAATGGTTGATTGCCACTTCCCAGTCCGAGTGCCCTGCATTCCAACGACAGGGTAGAACTACTCTTCTCCTCCTCCCGTTTTTGGATTCGAGTCTAGCCGCAGCTTCAATCTCCTTCCACTGACCTGTCGCTATTTTTTGTACATTCACTGTGTCATCCTCCAATTCCCTGTTCTCATCCTTGAGCAAGTTCACCTGCACCATCAAAATCGCGGTTTGCCTTCTCAAATCCTGGACCTCTTCCTCTTCTCTTTCTCCCTTCCCTTGTTCGTCTTCCATTGCATCACCATCCATTGGGTCGTTTCTTCCCTCAACTGTACAACTTTGCTCCTCTACCGCCTGAGCCTTTCGTTTCTTGCCATCCCTCTTCCTTTCCTTGCTATGGTAGGACTTTGGCCAGTGAAATATCCTCTCGTATTCCTCCTGCTGTATGTGTATCTCGTTTCTTACTGTGCGGGACTTTCTTGCGTATTGAGATGCATAGAACTCATTGAATTCTCCTTCCCTCCTTAGCAGCTCAAACCTGTTCTCTGACGTAATGTCTTCCCCTGCTTGTGTGGCTTGTTGAAGGTTCCTCAAGTGTTTGTAGTGGGCCAGCCTGATTTCACACTCGATTGTCCTCCCCCATTCCAGTTGCTCCACCTCTTTTGCCCACCGTTCCTTTGTCCAATCCTCCACATCTGAATCTTCCTGTTCTTCCCCTCTCTCTTCCTCGTCCTCTTCTGATGAAGCTTCGCTTTCTGTGTCTGGTGAACTCACTCCTTGGTCCTCCTCTGCCTGCAGTATCTGTTCAACGGTCATGTTGTCTGCATTTTGCATGCCTCTCCTTCTCGCTCTTTCTCTTACCCTTTCTTCTTCCTCCACTGTTACATGTACCTGAGCACCCTGAGATCTGCCTCTGTCCTCTTCGTGCTGCGATGATCCTTCTGAGAGATCCTTGTCTGTCAAGTCCTACTCACTCTTGTCTGCACTGCCTGTCCCTTCCTCTCCTACCCTGGCACCCTTTGAGGTCGAGTCGTGTGAACCTGACTCTGCCTCTCTTTCTTTGCCCGAGGTCTCTGATGAGTCCCTGCTTGTTCTGCCCTCTCCCTCTTCCTCTCCTGTGGTGGCCCCCTCTCCTGGTTGGGTCTTTTGTCTCTTTTTTCCCTGCTGCGACTCTCCTTCCTGAGTATTAGCCCCCTCTTCCCCTCTTGACTCTCCCTTCCTCTTTGTGGAGAAACTTCCTCCTACTGTTCCCCCCTTCCTTCCTTCCTCGCAGTCCATGTTGTCTCCCTCGCCCTCCTCCATTTCTTTTGACATGTCCTCCTTGTCTCTTATCTGCTCCTGTTGCTGTGCTCTGGCTTCTGCGTTTTCCAAGAAGGCCAATTCAGCGTTTTTCCCGACCTCATGTAGTTCCTCCATGAGCTTCAATCTCTGCTCATCATCCTGCAAGACCGCATCATCCAACATGGGTTTGACAATAAAACCGGTTTCCTTGTCTTCCATCCTCTTGGCTCCAGTGTGTCTCCACCTGCTATCGTATGGTGGATAGATATCCGGTTTGACCGTTGGATCCTTCTTCAACACCCAAACCCACCTTGGGTTTTCCAGGTTGTCATCGAATATTCATCCCCTGTATAAGGAGGAATTGATATACCAGACTCCTGGCTTGCTTTCGCACTCCTGTAGCATAGATTGTTTCAATGCCGCCCTTTTTCCTCCTGTTGCTCCTGATTCTCCTTATGGACAAGAGGTTCCCAGGTGACCTCTACCCCTGCATTTGAAACAGAAAGGGTTCGTCTTAGTCGAGATGAAGACTGTGATTCTCTGGCCACTTTTCTTGAAAATCCATTGGTCCGGGAACTTCGGCGGTGCCCCCGACTTGACTTCCAAACAAGCCACTCTTGCATCGTGATTTGGCGCCAGAAAGTCAGGGTTGGCCGGGAGCCATTCTATGATTGGATTGCTTGGAAATTCCTCCTGCAGCCTCCTTTGCACAAAGCTGTGCATTCCCTCCGATAGGTTGTCAAACTGAACCCAGAAGTGGTTCCTCAGCTTTGACTGTCTGTGTCTTGATGCTTCGGCTTGGGGTGGTCTAGGCGGCTTCCAAGGTTGGATTGTGACTACTGCCCCCTTGCATTTCAATGATCCTAACGAGAGCAGGTATTGGGCATAGGTAGGATCCACATAGACGATCATCACGACAAACCTTCCCCTCCTGTGGAAAGACACCTCTGGTTCCTTCCCTGGTATGTCCTCCATGGCTAACAGTCTGTCCCTCACCCACCTTCTCTTCTCATTAAAGCTCCCTGCTTCTCCCTTAGAAATTGAACAGTACTGCATGCTTCTCGTACAGTTCATTCAGAGATTGGATGTTCTTTTCAGGATATTCCCAAACGTCCACTTCCTCTTCCTTCCCACCCTCTCCCTTAATTACTTCTTTCGTGATCTTAATCTCCGCCTTGACTTGTGTTTTCTCCAGGAGAAAATCCATCGCCTTTTGCCCCAGAGAACGCGACTTGGCTTCGCCTGATGCTGGTGTTGTTCCTGACTGTGATGCCGTCTGTCTTGTTTGGGACAATATCACTCCCCCCTGCCCTCGGGCAAAGTCCAGCTTCTCCCTCTCGCTCATTCCCTTTTGGGCTGCCACAGAGTACGATATAGCCATCTTTGGTAGAGTAGCAGAACTTGGCCTCCCTCTTGGGTAACGCCTTTTGAAGCCGTGTGGAAGTCTAGGGGCTCTGCGAGATCGTCTTCCAGTCAGTACAAGCTCTTACGAGAAAATATGTTTAAGACTGCGTCGGAAACCTGTATTCAGTGATAAGCGGGTATCTGAATGGTGAATCTGCCCACAAGATAAGAATGGAATCGGGAAATCGATATCGAGATAGCAGCGGGGTGAAAATCGATATCGAGATAGCAGCGGGGTGAATATCGATATCGAGATAGCAGCGGGGTGAAAAACGGATTTGGGTGGGTCTCGTGCTTGAATGTGGGGATGGAGTGGGGATGGAGTCTGGTATTAAGCAGCGGTCCGGGTCAGTGAATTCAGGTTGGGAATGGGTTGAGATCAGAGTTGGATCGGGTCGACTTGGGGCCGGAGTGGGGGTGGGATATCCTAGAGATTGGAAGGAGTTGGGATCGGGGTACGGTAGAGGAAAGAAGGGGTGAGTTCTGTTTGCGTTTGGGATGGGAAGGGGGAGAGAGAGGAATGGGGGTGAGGAGGGTGTGACTCGAGGGTGGGTTGGGAACGTGGTGTGATCGGGAATGTGTCGAATCGGACTGTGAACGGGAAGGGGTTGGGGTGTAATCAAGGTGAGGTCGGGATGGGATCTGGGTGGGGAAGAGAAGGGATGGGGTGAGATCTGATGGCGTTCGGGATGAACTCAAGGAGAAAGAGGAGTAGGGGTGAGGGGGGTGGGGGTAATTAGATTGTGAATTCTCACAAAATTTTGGCAGCGTTTACCCTCCCCGCTTGGGGGACGGGTTATACACCACGCGGATTGAATCGTTGAGGTACAGATCAGAATTGGCGGAAAGGGATGGCGAATACCTTCTTCTCTTAGAGACGCAACAGGGAAGAGCGGTGGGAGGAGTGTATGGAGTGGAAAGGGCTGCCCAATGGAGAGGAAGAGATTGAGCAGCATTTGTCTTCGGGTTGCTTGTCACTTTTATAATGTGATGTCAAGCGGGGAAGGGGGGAGATGGACGTGAGAAAGAGAAGGGAAGGATGATGCTATTTAGTCAATTCCTGTGTAGGGGAACAACCCTGTCTGGATGGAGGGGGGAGATGGCGAGACTTTAAAGATTGTTGCGCGAGTGTTCGAGGAAATCGGGCAGCATTTACTCTCCCCACCTGGGGATCAGCTTTCTGGTAAGGAAGGATAGTACGTTATATTGCGGACCAGGGGCGTCGGTGATTCGTTTACCCTCTGCACTTTAACAACTGGTAGTTACAGAGCCAGCAATGACCACTCAGATTGGAGAAAAGAGGATCTTTAACTACCTAACGGAAGGGGAAGGTTGAGTTGAGAAGGAATCGTAAAAGGGCACATTAGGAAAGGAGAGAAATTGCGATGAGTGAGATCGCGACTGTTCGCCGAGGAGAAAGTGTTGAGGGAGGAAGACCGGGTAGGATTAGGCCGAAGTCGTAGAGGGAGAGGTAGGATCGGATTTGAGGACCACTACTGGGGTCGACGGTGGAGAGGGAGGGGGGGATCGGTTGGATGTGAAGTGTGTGTAATAAGAGGAGGGGAGGGATGAGTTTGGGAGGAAGTTGGGGGGGAATGAAGATTCAGCCGATTGATGGGTTGCGAACTGCGGGAGTAGTGCGTGGGGATGAGAAGGAGGTTGAGGTGAAGAGGGGGCAGCGGAGGGGATTCTTGGCGAAAGTAAAGCGCGTGTGCGAGTGTGGGGAAGAAGGATGGAGCAGGTTGGTCTAGCTTTGGGGGTTGGGAGGGGAGGCGAGATGACGAGACGTATGACGGGCTCAATGTGATAGGAGGGTCATTCCATTGGCGGGCGAGATGATAGGGTAGAACGAGCTTGGGGGGGCAATGGGATGTTGAGGGCGATCTCACAGGCTTCGATTACGTGTGTGTATTGATGCTTCTCGTCGCTTCCAGGGCAGCTCTTAGGATAAAGATGTGACGAATGAACTCGACGGCTTGAGGGAAATGAGGCTTCCTGAAGAAGGAATCCGGCCTTGTTCGTCGGTGCAGGTCTTCGGGCCGCGCTCCGGAGAGAAATTGGAAGGACCATTCCTCAACATAAGGGGGTCTTCGCGCGCGCGCGCCAGGCGCGTGCGTACTTGGTTCCCCTATCTGGCTATGGTGTGGACGATGCTCCCCATTGAGGGGAAGGATTCGGCGCGACGAAGGCGTTGGTTTGAATTTTCGAAAAAGCCGTCGCGCGCGCAGCCGAGCTGCTGGTGATGGCGGGAAGGAATTAGCGCTTGTTTTGCGCTACCCGTCCGGCGCGAGCGCTCTCCACGTCCAGCATCTGGTCAGTCCGGTCCGTCAGTCCGGTTCCTATTCCACCGGCAAGTCAAGTTTCACATTACATCATTGATCACTCACACATGCTTCCTTCCATCAGGCCGAAGGACCCCTGAGCAGCATTGATTACTCCACCGCGGGAGGATTGACTGTCAGCTTGCCTTATCCTCCTCTTTCCTCTCAGACCCGTATTCCAGATAGCTGAAAAAAAAAAAAAAAAAACAGATCTGTCAAATAAAGCCTTTGTCCCTAGAAAGAGCGCATTTGTTATCCTTATCTAACCTAAAACATCCCCGTACACATCTTTGCCCCCCTTTGGATGGACAGTCGTTGATCCTTAAGCCCTAAACCCTCAGGCTACCCTCCTATCTTTCAATCATCAAAATTAGAACCTGGCAGGGCATTCGTCAGCTTCCGGATCCCTGCGGTAGGATCTTCCTCTGCAGCCCCCGTTCATGTTCCAGTATTGTCATCATTCCCAACTTATCCTCCTTAACCCCACGTTGTCTATACCCCCTGGGTCGCTTGAAGATTGTATTTATCCCCTTGCGGCCTCAGATGTGGTTATGCCTTCCAGCGATGTCTGATGTTGGAAACCCCTTCCCGGAATTAGTACCTCGCAGGTGTTCATCTAGGAAACGGATCTTTGTGTACCAAAAGGTCGCCTGGCCTAACAAACTTGACAGAATCGTGCCACTCTTCCAGCTTCAGCCCTTACCAAAACGAGTGGACCCGCCGCAGCGACGCTGCGGCTGAGGAGAGGGGTGAAGAGGGGCGCGGGGGCGTTGGTGTCGCTGCGGGGCGAAAAAGAATTTTTTTTTTGTTGGTGTCGTCATAACAATCACACAGGGAAAAAAAAACGATGACAGTGGTAGAATGTTTTTGTTTGTCTCTCTCTCTTTGTCTGACCGGTGCTTGTCGTCTGCTCTGTCTGTTTCTCTCTCTCTCTCTCTCTCTCTCTCTCTCTCTCTCTCTCTCTCTCTCT